TGGCGTTAGTTTCAAATAATTTAATCCCCTTAGATAGGATATTCTTATTTTTGCAACAATGAGTCTTTTAGAGACTCATATACTTTTAATTACTTTTTTTCATTAAAAAATTTAGAGGAATTAACATGTCTATTGTAAAAAGCCATTCTTGACAAAATCTTATTTTGGACAATCTTCTCTTTTAAACTTATTTTTAATAATTTTATCAAAATTAACTTTTTCTTTCTCAAGATCGTTAATTTTTATGATCTTCGTGAACTTAGGAAAATAAATTTTGCAAGTCTAGATTATTTTTTCTCAAAATCTTTTTCTCAAAATTAGCCTTAGAAAATGATTTTCAATTTTGAATGAATCTTTTTGTATTTTGAAATCATGACTTCAAATTCTAACGTTAATTCATCATAGACATGTTGCAACTCATCAAATGTATATGAATTATAATCGAATGAGATAGAAAATACTTTTGAATCTTCTTGGATAGACATAAGGTAAAGGTTGAAAACTTCATTATCTTCATCATTGATGATGTCCTCATCACTCTAAGTAAAAACAAAAGTTTTCTTCTTTGTCTTGTTTGATCCCTTCTTCTTCAATTGGGATAATCATACTTCTTATGTCCCAATTTGTAGAAATTATAGCATATGATGTGATCTTTTTCCTTCTTTGATCCATGTTTCATATATTTCCTTTTTGATGACATGTATCACTTGAGTTTCATGAAGATCTCGGCCATAATTCTTCATCCACCTCTTCACTAAAGTCTTCTTCATCTTTATTGGTAGACTTGAAAGTGATTACAACATCCTTTTTCTTCTTCTCCTTCTTTATCTCATATTCTTCTTCTTTTCCTTTGAAGCCTCATCTGATGAGTAAGAAAGATTTAATGAGTTCACTAAGATTAAGAACTTCTAGATCTTTGGCTTCTTCAATAGTCATCCTCTTGGATTCTCATGAAATTAACAAGCTATTAAGAAATGTCTCATATTTCCTCAATTGAGTAGAATTTCTCAGAAACCTTTAGCTCATTGATGATGGTGGTAAATCAATCAGACACGACTTTAATTTCTTCATCAAGTTTCATTTTGAAATTCTCATAATTAAGTGTGAGAATGTCAATCTTCAATTTCTTTACTTGAGTTGTACCTTCATGTATGACTTTAAGCTTCTCCACAAATATCCTTAATATTAGAGCATGAGAACACTATACTATACTCATCGGGGCTAAGTGCACAAAAGATGATGTTCATGGCTTTGACGTTAAGTTAGACTAGCTTCTTATCTACATTGATTTATTCTAACTTATTTCTTCAAGGATTAGGTGAACCATCAAGGATGACATCTCAAACTAAATAATCGGTAACTTAAATGAACAATATCTTCATATTCTTCCAATAGGAAAGTTTGCACCATTGAAATATGAAGGTTTTTGAAATGGATTATAAATATTCAACAAAGTAGAAGCCGGGGATTGAAGCCATTTTTATCGGTTGAATGAAGAATTTGATCAAGCTTGCCTAGAAACTTCTCAAGGTTATTAAATTGATGATTGAGATATGCTCTGATACCAATTGTTAACTCTATCGAACAATCAAAATATGCCAAGATGGGGTGAATTGACATTTAAAAAAATTGGTGTGGAAGTAATCGAAAAATAAAACTTTGCACAACGATTGTAGAGTGATTTGACTTCTAAACCAAGTCTACATCCACTATCTTAGCATCCCCACTAAGGATTTCTCAAATCTACTAGATTTATTAACCTTTAAGTATAAGGTATAACCTTACAACAACTTACAAGGTTTATACCCAAAAATCTTATTTACATTCCACAAGAGAAATTACAAATGAAGCAGACAAAGAGAAAACCTCATAAAACAAATGTGTTTGTAATAATTAAGCTCTCACAAAATCACATTTGATCAAATTGAACAATGTAACTCTCAAGTGTGTTACAAAGAATATTACGAAATTAAGAACAAAATCTCTTTTGATGTTGGTATTATCTTTAAAAAATCTTTATTATTGTTTTTCATTTGAATCTTGGTCCATTTTATGTCTTCTAATATCCTTCTAGTCGTTTGGATCCATTAGTGGTTGATTAGAGCCGTTGGGAACATTAAAGTAGAACATTAAATGCTCACTTGCAACTTTGGTATTGATACTGGGAATGGGTATCTGGACCAAGCATCCTAATGATAAAATATATAGTCGTTGGAGCCTTCGGTATTGATAGTATTTTAGTGAGTATTGATACTCACATATCGGTATCGATGCCAAAACCTTGGTATTGATACTAATAATGTTTTCTAGAATGTTGATATTGATATTGGCTTGTTGGTTTCGAGACTAAGGGGTAGGTTTTGATAAAATCGAATATTTTTTAGCTTTGAAAAATATTTGTAAATTATGTGATGACCCAAAAACACTAAAGAAATTTTTTCACAATTAAAAATCACTTAAAAACATTTTATAACAATTTTTCATAATTTCTTAAAATACAGATTTTAACAAAATAAATTATATAATAATTCAGGTTATATCAAAAATCAAATAATGGTTGAACAACCTCCTAATAAGATAGTCCATCGGAGCAAAACATTATTTGGGTAGTTGTTTTCTTCCTTAAAGCAGCAACTAATTACTTTTAAATTGTTATTATATTAGAAAAATAAGTATAACATTTATGGGAGAAGAACACATAGTTTATGAGAAGAAGCAAAGATTAAAATAATGATTTTTTTAAATATAGAGGATTAAATTTATTAAATTCTTTCAAATAAGGAAAAATTAATATATTATATAAATTTTGAGAACTAAAATTGTTATTATACCATGTCATGTCATTATTTTGTCTAATATTTAACGATCAGAAACCTTTTTGTAAAAATAATTTAATTCGGTGACATATTTTTATCTTTTAAAAAAAAATAGTCTATTTGTTACCCAATACATAATTGTGTGACCTCAAGTCCATTTTACCCATAAAAAAAATCAATTCTCGATATATTGATTTAGTTGGTTCCAATTTGGGAATACCCGACATCGAGATGGTATAAAACAAATATCGATGGCGAGAGAAAAATAAACAACTGGCACATCAGCTTGTGGTGGTGGGTAGAAAGTGATGATCGAGAGTGGGGGATTGAGGTCGATTCTTACACTTCTTAAGGCAATAATGAATTTGGAAATAAGGCAAATACTTGTTTCAACCATATTTTACCTATCTTAAGTGATAGCATACATGAAATTGATTGGAGAACTCAGTACCCGTGAATGAAGCAAATAGTTGCTGCAATAAATCATAACTATTTTTAAATTTTGATATGTAAGAGAAGATGATGATTTGAAAAATAAAATATTTATAATATAAGATAGATATGAATTTTTCTAATTAATTGGGAACATAAAGAAAACTCATGAAATAATTTCTCTTGAGTTTAGCTTTGATAAGTAGTTTGACTTTTGATTATTTATGTACACTTTTAAAATAATCATTGAAATTTTCACTTATACATTAAAAGTTATCAAACCTATTAAGATTTATATTTTAAATTTTAATTGATGCAAATTCAAATATTTGATTAAGGCAAAAATTTCATTAAAAAAGGGATCAAATTGTGAATCAAAGCCAAATTAAAGGGTGAAATTACAAATCAAAGCCAAAATAAATGGCCAAATTGCATCTCAATGACAAAGCCAGGGGCCAAACTGCATATTAAAGCCTAAATCAAGGGGGAAAAGATACATTAATTAAATAAATAGTTACAACATTTAAGTTTTTTTAGTGATTAGATGTGATTGTATCTATTTTACAGATTTTTAATCATGTGATAATAAACGTTTTCAAATACTCTGATAATTACTCGTACTCGAATTCAAAATCTCTCAAAATAACAATTATGCCTTTAAATATTAAGGTAGCTTGGTTCGTGCTACAACCTTTTAAGTTCATTAAAATTGGCTTAATTATAAAATAAGCGCCAAAACTATACTGTTTTCATGAATAAGTGTCTAAATTTTTTCTGAATAATCTTGGCGCCTAGCATTACCACTTTAGGTGCCCAGGCTGTAAACACCTTTAATTTTCTCCATTAAGTGACACGTTTCATATTCTAGTAATTTTTAATTATTTAAAATTTAAAAAACTAAAATTATATTAAAAACACAAAATTTTTGAAATAACCCCAAAACTTCAAAATTCTTCATTTCAACCCCTAAACTCAAGTTGATCGCTGTCCTTTACCGTCGACAAAGCTCCACTCGACCTCACCTCCCCCGACGACCAATACCCCTATTAAATCGCAATTGATCGATGGTCGATCAACGACCAATCGGCGTTTTGTACCCTGTGAACTCTAGGATGAAAATTGTGATCCTATGTGATTTTGATGGCCAACGACGATAACAACGATGACATATAACTAAGAGTATGACAAAGAGTACGTTGATGACAGTGGTTGTGGTCAGAAAGGGCAACAACGAGTTAGGGTTAGGGATTTTTAGGGATTTGGGTTTTTTGTAATTTAAGAAAAAATAGGAATTTTTTGTAATTTAAGAAGAATTAGGAATTTTTTGTAATTTAAGAAGAATTAGGAATTTTTTATAAATATAATAATATTTTAATTTTTTAAATAAATAAATTACAAAATTACCAGAATGTTACCTATGCTACTTAACGAAAAAAAATTACCGACATTTACGTCATGGACATCTAAAATGATAACGTTTATTACGTTATACACTAAAATTATTCAATAATTTAAACACTTATTCGTAAAAACGTTATATTTTAAACAATTATTTTATAATTAAGACTTAAAAATAATGGAGATATGGTAGCCTAGATTGTTTTACGTATCGAAATCAGACAAATTGTACTGCTTAGATGCTTTTTCGGATTTTATAAGATATAGTGGGGTCAATATGGTAAATACACGAAAAACTAGCGTTACGTGTCGTCCCGGGGTGGCAATAACTTCATTTAAAATTGAAGAAAAATAAATAAATTAGAAAAGCCCGCCATACCTAACCTAAAATGCTTCTCTCAAATTCACGCACTCTCAGTCTTCATACCAAGAAAGCCCCTGAAACTGTTACCAAATTACGAAATTAGTAAACTCAGAAATCATTGCAGAGTGTAAAAAAGGAAATCCAATCCCTCACCGTACTCCATTTCATCGATCTATCTCGCCGAAACTCGGAAACCAGACACCATGTCAACCGGAGAAACGGCCTGCCGGTCGCCTCTTTACAAGCCGATCAGCCAACTCACGGAGGATGATATTTCTCAGGCCACTCGCGACGATTGCCGCCGTTACCTCAAAGAGAAAGGTCTCGCTTTCTTTGCATCTTTTTTTTAATGTTTTGTTTTTGTTTGAAAGTAAACCTGTGTGAATATTTTGTTTATAATTTTTGGAAATCATTTTTTTCTTTGCCTGTAGGGATGCGGAGACCGTCGTGGAACAAATCGCAGGCGCTTCAGTAGGTCATCTCACTGAAAACTCTTCTCGAAACGACGTCGGATTCGGAAACTGCCGAAGCTTCCAAGAAACTTTACATTCCCTTACCCGAAAATCCTTCTCGTGTTCGTGGAATTTATTTATTTATTTATTATTTTCGAATAAATATTTTTTTAAGGCATGGAGAGTAGTAGTAACACATATTTTCGAATCTTCTCTGTTTTAGTCAAACCAGCTGAATCAAATAAGATCTTCGCAGTTCGTCTCTGATTCAACCGTTCTACCGAACGAAACGTCGCAGCATAACGGGATCTCAGTTCCGGTAAACGAATCCGTTCCTCGTACCCGTCCAGATTCCATGACATTTAGATTTTCCGACGAAAAATCAGTTCGAAACGCCGTATCCGGTGGTGACTCTGTTTCTCTAAGGTCGTTTGTTAATTTTGCACCTGTTTTCTAATAACCATAGTTTTGCATGGAATAAAAGCGTTTGACGTGATATGAGTTCAGTGAGTGTGAGGTCCTTGAGATTACTTTTCTTTAGGAAATTTTATGCAGTATAATGTTGGTCAAGCTGTTCGTTATTGGCTGTTGCTAGAGTCAACGGTTTAAAATTATGGCTTCAATGTGAATGGAATGAGAGTTTGTACATGTGCTTTGAATATTTGTGTGGTATCTTTCATTTCCGGATTTTGTGCTTGCAATTATTGTAAAATCTTTTGGTCAACAATGACGGCATTCCGATAATAATTATATTTACCCTTACTATAGACTTACAATCTGGACGATCCTATGAGTTCTTTAAATAGCTATGCAACAAAGTTCTAACCATTCAAATTGGTGTTTGATTAGATGGTTCCAGATGGGCATATTTGTGTCCCAAGTGCCATGAGATGCATGGGTGAATGTATGCTGGTATTAAACATGTTATAAATGATGTCAGGGTCAAAAACTCATAATAGTCTAACTCTACTGAGATGTTGATACTATAATTGTCATGGTAGTGTAATTCATTGGTCTTGTCATTAAAATGAAATAACATTGATTTTAGAAATTAAAGATATGTGATGTTCCAAACCGAGTTTTCTACTGGTTAGATTGCTTCACTAGCATCTTGCATTCTAATTAGATCACTTGGTTGGGGTTGAGTTTCTCATTCTATTGCATACTAACCTGCATTAGATTACTTCCAAATTAATTGCTTTCCCATAGTTGATATTACCAAATTATTTTCTCAGGCGGAAAAATTCTCAACTGTCCAGAACGGCGAGAGTAGCAAAAGAGCCAGCAGAACAGATGACAATTTTTTATTGTGGGGAAGTGAATGTCTATGATAATATGCCTGGTTATCAGGTCATATACGTTCCAGCTTTCACTATAGTTCAGACATCATTATTGGTATCCCAGTATATAATCAAATTGATATAAATGGTTTTGCAGGCAGAAGCAATCTTTCAATTTGCTGCAAGCCAGGTCCTATTTCCGCAGGAAACTCTAGTTGATCAAAAGACTGCACCATTGTCCATTCCATACCATGTACAGGCTGCAGGTATAAAAATAAGCCCATGAGACACTGAGCCTCTTTCCTTCTCTGCTGAGTGCCATTTGTAGTTTGTGACCCAAAGTGGTAAATAGGAGATATAAATAAAAAACTTTTTCTTGGACAAACCTGTTTTAGTTCACAATGAACCGTGTTATAAGCTAATGACTATCACATGTTATACACTAGGATGGTTTCAAGTTGCAACTGAGAATGGGTAAGATATAGTGCCCGAATAGCAGAATAATACCTGCTGTATTCGTTTTCTTTGCAGGTAAGGTGGCAGAAAACTGTCAATTTCCTCAAGAAGATAGCAATGCATCTTGTGATGACAGTCTTGGTAAATGCTCCCCTCTAATTATCTCATAAATTCTATCCTTTTCCTTTAATGGGTGGGGGTGCTGATGTGTACTTCTTAAAAACATCTCATATCCCCTTTATGTAGGTGCTTAGCAGCTCTTTATGAGTAAATGTTTGAGGTAATGGATATGACTCATGTCATATTTTGGGCACAAGTATTCATTGGATGCATATTTTTTGGGCTTGTTTAGATTTTAGCATCTTGGTCAGAACTTGTCTTTTCAGCATTAAGCCATTGAATAATACACACTGTATCTTTTTAAGTACTTGAACTGCAGCAAGTACAAACAATTGTGATACCTGTCCTTGATTTAGTGAATTATGATTGAACCAATATTTCTCCTTTGTATGTAGTTCTCGTGCTTATTAACTCTGTGTCGTTTATGCTTCCTACCATCCCATAATGATGTTAATATACCAGAGCCAGACTCCAGGTATAATCAGTACTCGCTCCCATTCGTTCCTCCTTTATGCTGGATGCAAACCTAACAACATTTTTTTAATCTTTTTATTGTTATTCTGATTGCACATTAATAAGTGAAATAATTGAAAGCGAGAGTGAGTCCGACAGATCGCCTATCCTCCGGTGAGGAATGGACTGTCTTCGTTGATAATCTCAGTAACAGAGTTTCTAGAAGAGAATTAAGAGAGATATTCAACCATTACGGAAGAGTGTTGAGGGTTTTCATCCCAAAATTTTTGAAGAAACCGAACTATAAATTTTCCACGTTCGCATTTGTCTAGTATGTGAAGGAGGAAAGTAGAAGAAGAGCAATACAAAATATCCATGGAACGTTGATAGATGGGAAGAGAGTCTCAGTGGGGGTTGCAAAATATAATAAAGCTATAAAATGAGAAGTTCAAGAGAGAAGATTCGTGAAGGATGTTAACAAGCCAGCTAGAAAGGACAAAGGAAGGCCTGAAGAGGAGATAGAGGTATTGTGAAGTCTGAGGGATGGCAGAACGTATAAGGATGTTTTGAACGTGGGTAATGGATTGAGAATGGAACAAGAAATGGGGGGAAAAAGAGGAGGTTCACAACAAACTACAAAAGGTTTAAAGAACGTATGGGAAATGTATATTCCTACAGAAGATCACTGCTGGGCGAAAAATTCTTTAACAGGGGGTTATCAAATATCCTTTTGAGTCAGATGTGGTGAAGAAAGCTTTGGCAAAGGAGGGTTTAAAAGTAAAAATAGCAAGATGGAGATATGCAAGGAATTCATGTATCATAATGTTCAAATCGAATGAAGATTACACGAAGGCGTGGATGAATTTTCGTGAAAAGCTTTTCTTGTATTTTGGTTGGCTGTCTCCTTTGTTAAATGAAGGAGTCCATTTGGCGTATTGCTTGGTTGAGTTAGTTGGACTACCACTTATATGCTGGAATGAACCTTTTCTGGAAAAACTTGCAGGCAGATGGGGGATTTTTGTATGTATATTGGAGGAGACGAGAAATAGGGAGGACCTCTCATCCGCGAGATTATTGATAAGGGTGGGGGTGGCGAGTCCTTTCGACATACCATACTTTATCAATATAGGATCATATGGCAGGTCTTTTAAAGTTATAATTAAATTGGGATATAAATGCAAAAAATCTCTGCTGTAATCGGAAAAGAGATGCAAACGAATTTTGTTGATTGCTACAGTGATGAATATTCGAAGGAGGAAGATGAAGTAGGTTGGAGGAAGATGAAGTAGGTTGTTGGAAAAATGTAGAAGGTGATCGTGGGATGTCATCAGATGAGGTCCAGTCAAAGGTTGACTCGTGGCTTAAGCAAGGACGAGAGAGTGGGTTGAAAGAAATTAGTGGGGGATAGTATATGAAACAAAAGTCCCATACGGAACAGTCTATAAATGGGATCTCAGGTGAATTTGAAATGGAGGCAAATCCCAACAGGGATTATGCGGGTCTCGGGCTGCGAGAAAAAGTAGATCGAAAAAATTCAACCCAATCAGATTCTAATTGGGAATCTTATTCTCCGGTTCGGAAAATATTACCTGGTGGACCAACTCTCAACTACAAGTGGGATGAGTCAAAAGAACATAACTTTCGGTTAGCTTCAACAATAAATGAGGTTGAAAGAAGCAACACCATAGATGATAAAGGTGAGGGAAATAATTATGTAGAAGCAGACTCCTCAGATATGGAAGTTGAACGAAAATTGCCTTTGGAGGAACATATAGAAATCAAAGTGAAGAGTGCTCAGTGTTGGAACATGGTGTATCCCGTGTCTAGCTGTCTGTCAAGTAAAAGTGCCCCTGATGGAAGGAGGGAGAGAGGGCGTTATGCTAGAGTTTACTGAAGGTCAAGACAGACGATTTGGTTTTGCTCGGATAAAGAAGAGGTCAAGATCCAATCAGAGGTTATTCCGGTCCAAGTCAAGAAGACAACAGATTGCAGGAGCATTCAGCAGTTTTCTACAACAAATTTGGGAAAAGGGCACGAAATGGTCAACAATGGTTCTGTCAATTTTTAGAACTCATCACTGGATCCAGTACTTCACAGTAAGTATCTAGAGAGTGTGACAGCAGTTTCTCATTATGTTTCAGGGGAAGGAAAAGATCACAGAAGGATGAAAAGAACTTTGATTAGCGAAGCTCTGGATTTGGTAAATAATTCTACCGTCTCTTCATCCCCTTTTTTGATATTGTTGGAGGAACTATAGCTACATGGGAAGTTTGTCAGATGCTAGGAATTTCTTTCAAGGAAGGGAAGAAGGCTTTTATTGATAAAATTTTAAGCCTTGAGAAATGTTGGGGTAGTAAGGGAAAGCTGATATATTACGGTCTTTTTGGAGTTTGGTGGCCAATTAAGGAGTTTTATGGGGGCATGCAGATTGTTGAATTATTAATGATGAATGAAAAATTACTCATAATTTAATGGAATGTAAGGGGTTTTGGAAAAATGAGAAACAACGGGCTATTAAGAGATTAGTCTCTAAGATATCTCCTTTTCTTTGGTTACAAGAAACTAAATCTGAGAAGATTCAAAGATCTTTTTTTAGAAGAAGTGGGTTGAATATTCTTCAAGGTTTTATTGAATCTCCAGCGGTTGGTTCTTCAAGGGGGTTATTATGCTGTTGGGATGATAATGTTTTTGAGCTGGAAAATCAGTATATATTTTTTTGATAGGAATGTAGGCCTCGTTAAAAACCCCCTTCATGATTAATGGAACACTAAGTGTTTCTCAATCAGCGGAAGGAGGAAAAGAGTGCCTTAGGATTCATTAAAAACCACAATATACATAATGTTTAACAACAACACATAAACACTCCCTGTACATAATCCAACCCAAAGACTACAAAAGCAAATCACAAATGTAAAACTAGCCAATACCAGCTTTGGCTAAACTATCAGCCTCAACATTGGCTGACCTAGCAACCCATCTAATAAAACCATTCAACTCCCTTAACTTAGTAACAATATCTTTTACTAAATTAGAGTATACACCGGGACAGAGCTCAAAATTCTTGACCCACTCTACTGCAAGCTTACTGTCAGATTCAATCATTAAACGTTCCTTCATCTGCTGATGAAACGGCTCAAAAAAAATTAGGCCCCTCTTAACTGCCAACAACTCAATCAGCGCCGGAGGACCTGGACCAGAAGGCTCTTGAAAAGAACCCATCACCGAGCCATCCTCATCTCTAAGAATTCCCCCAACACCACTCTTCCTCCAATCACCATTCACTGCTGCATCCACATTAAGTTTAATGAAACCCTTTGGAGGAGGAGACCAAGACACAATTTCAATGATCGAACACCTTGACTTAGAGCAATAATCCCCAATAGTAGGATCAGAGATGAGAGAGTCTTTTAGAATAGAGACATCCTTGGTATTCGTTATGAACCAGGTCGCCAGCCTACATCTTGCCATAAAAAACAGATCGATCTGATCGAGCCTACCCCCATCAAACACAATGTCATTCCTATATTTTCATAGTCCATAGCACCACACCTGGAATATATGACCAAATTCTAGAATTAAGAACCAAATGCTCCCAAGCTATCAGAAAACTTTGAGCATTGGCCTGCAAAACCGAACTAACACCCCACAATTTCAAAAATTTCATCCACAATGCCCATGTCACAAGGCAAGTAAAAAATAAATGCAAAGAGGATTCAACCTCTTTTTTACAAAGGGGACATGACACATCTATAACAGCTGAAACTCCTCTCCTTTGTAGTTCCTGTTTTACTGGCAGTCTATGATGCACAACCTGCCACAAAAAGACCTCCACTCTGGGAGGCACCAAACCCCTCCAAATGAATTTCATCCAAAAGAATCAGCTGACAGAACAGGACTGCAAGCTTTAACACTGGTCTTAACAGAATAGATCACATCCCCGTTTCCTCTCCAAACCCACCCATCAGACAGATCCTTGGACAGAGGTATATTGTGAATTAAGGTCATCAGATCGCAGAATTGAACCAGTTCCCAGTCACTCAAACTCCTTCTCAATTGAACATGACAACACCAAACTGAGGACTTGAACTCACCAAACTCTTTTAACTTCCCATTTTTATTTACAGACAGAACAAATAATTTGGGGAAGACCTCTTTAAGAGGGGAAACAGTCGCCCAATTATCAGACCAGAAACTGATTTTGTCCCCACTGCCTACTCGAACATCTAACAGACTTCGAAATTTAGCTCCGAACTGGTCATCTTTGAAATGATTATTGACTATCGATTTCCAAATCCAAGAAGAAAAGGCAGGTAGTTTTTCCTTGAACATCAACAAACTAGGGTCCAGATTATACTTACTGCAAATAACCTTTTTCCACACTGACCCTCTATCATTCGCAAACCTCCAAGACCACTTTCCTAGGAGTTCTCTATTCATGTAATTAAGATCTAGAACTCCTAGACCACCCGCACTTTTTGCAGAGCATACTGTCGACCAGTTTATCCAATGAATTTTTTTAACCTCTGCCCCTCCGCCCCATAGAAAACTGGCCATAATGGAGTTTAGCTTAACAATCACGGAAGAGTGTATTTTAAACAGGGACATGAAATAGGTGGGTAATGAGCATAAAACAGCCTTTAATAACACTAATCTTCCTGCCACAGACAGAGTCCTCGCCTTCCAGCTGGCTAGCTTCTTGTTAAATTTCTGCACTATCGGATTCCACAACGCTATAGAATTTCTCTTAGCACCAAGCGGTAATCCCAAATATTCCGAAGGAAAATGTCCCACTACACAACCAATAGTATTAGCCCACTGCAACACCTCTTCCTCACTGATATTAATCCCAAATAATCTACACTTAGTGAGGTTTAATTGCAGTCCTGAAA